GTTAGAATAATCTCCAATACATTTTTGATGAATAGTCCAGTGTATTGGAAGAGGAATACTCTTTCTGTAAAAGTTTCTGCTTAGAATATGAGACAATAAATGAATATATATAAATATACAATTAAAGGCTCTCAAGAGATAATCTAACAAATAAATATTGCCTATTAGAGCCGACACAGTTCTTATGTGTAACAAATTATGTGTAACATTTATTGGTTAAAAACCATATAATATAATATCAAAAATTAGTATAGGTAAACGTTTCGACCCTCTTGTTTGGGTCCTCTTCAGTACCAATAGAGATGAGAAAATAATTAAACAGTTGAAAAATCACAGTAAGATCATCGCGTAGATTGTGTCCATAACATTAGCATGACAACAGTTTGGCAAAATTGCTATGAAAAATAATGAACAGGAATGTTTAAAGAATTTCGCTTATAAAAACTTATGTGGAAGTCAAAACCAAATTCGTCGAAAAAAGTAAATCGAAAAACTTACATGTCAAAAACTATATCAGAGAAATACGGTTGACGTAATTTCAAAGATGCGTCCTGTCAAAGACTGATAAATCACTGCACATGTAATAAAAATAAAATAATTAAAATTTGAAAATTGAAGCCAAGAAAAGGTCACTGAAATATTAAAACAGAAAACGGCTTACAAGGCATGATGTTTGAAATGACTCTACCGCTCGAAGTCTCGATTGTTAATGCGAGATATTTTTACTTTTTTTAAAATGTATAATTTTGTTTCAGCTCAGCTTACCTACTCCTACTCCTGTATTACCGTTGATCTTATGACGAAACTCATCAATTTGACCACCAGCGTCATCCTCCTCATGATTGAAACACTCGCGCACTTCTACACGTATGCCGCGAGATTGTTAGCGTCATCACACTATCACAGTGCCCCAGTTTATGCATAACGCATAGTAACGTACTGGAACACTCTCGCATAAAGTTCTCGAAAACTTTATAATTGTTTTCGTCTGATAATTTCAGTATATAGTCTCTTGCAATCAATTTTTGATTAAGATTGCAAGCGACTATAAAAAATTTAGATAATAAATCACGAAGAGCCATTTTTTTCGCACTAGCAATAAGATTTATAGAAAGCACGCCCTCGGAAGACAGTTCGTCACAACGAGAAGTTAAAGCCAAACTAGAGTAAAATTTTCAACCTACGCACTATTTATTCACTCGAAAATACGCTAAAAAGGGCGTTTCCTTATTTCCTTCTCCTAAGTTTGTTTAGCTAATAACTAAGGTTCTCCATATTTTTTTATAAATATTCTTGGAAAGTCGACTATTTCTTATTTATTAAAACCTTTTCTAAGTTAAATCATCTTTTTTTTTTATCTTACCGTGCAATCTACAAAAAATTTACTCTTCTGTCAAGGCATATTTCATTTTTCAATCATTTTTGTAACGCAGAACGAACAGAATATCATAAAACAAATTTGTACGCTTCTGTTCGTTTTTGCCTACCTGTCATTCCCAGACTTTTTTGAAAGGCTATCCCTTTTTTTTCTTACAGAATTTAAAAGAATTTTTTTTTGTTAATTTGGACAGAATCCTTTCTTCAATATTATGTATAACTCAACTGTCGAAATATCGTAAAACGAACTTGTATGCCCCTGTTCCCTCTTGTTTACCTCTCCCCCTGTAAGTCTTCTTTGAAAGGCTATCACATTTTTCTTACAGAATAATTTAAAAGAATTTTTTATTAACGTGAACAGAATCCTTTCTTCAATAATTTTTATAACTCGGCAGTCGAAGTATTGTAAGACGAACATGTCCGTTCTTGTTTTACCTCTCCCTTTCAGACTTTTTTACATTTTAACGGAAAAATATAGAAAAATCTAGGCTTTTTGCTTTTTCTTCTGTGCGCGCAAAATAATTTTTGTTAAGTAACATCGGTGAGGAGATGATGTCGTCGGTAGCGTCACGAGTCCGCTTCATTCGAGTCTCGTCGTTCTTAGCTCCAACTTCGTGAGCAAGCAAGCAAGTACTGTACTTCTTAGTTTTGACCCATCCATCTTGGATTAATCGTGTCGTTTAGTGCTACAGCGAAGTAAGAATAATGGACAGCTTAAAAGTCGCCAATAATTCGGACGAGCAAATGTACTCCAACCCGAATTCTTTCAAGGCGCGTAACAACGACGTGAAAAGAAACACACGATTTCATATGCTGTTTACGACAACGTATGATCTCAACAACTCTCATACGAAGACGATTCATGTGGGTCTGCAAAGAACGAACGAGGGAATCTTCAAGCCTTTTGTAAAATTGAGCGGAAACAATGCTGACGGTATTTATTTCGACGCCAACAGTTTGAAACAGTTTCAAGACAACATGGGCTACATGAACGAATATTTAACTAGTGATAAAACCAAACGAAAACGAATTCTGTTGTCATAAAAAATATCTCTATCAGTTTTACCACAACTTACGGTGCGAAATCAATATTATTGGCGTATAAAGACGAAGA